CAGAGGAGCAAATGCACTGACACACAAGCCACAATTCTGGAGGGCATCCGAACCCTCATAGTCCCAATAGACTCTTCCGAAGAACATGGAAGCAGCCAGTGGCAATCGAATGAAGAGCATACTTAGCCATGCCGACATAGCCCCCCAGGGATGTGGAACGTAGAGGCACTGGCAGAATGGCCTGCTGGACCTCCCAGGGGTAGGGAAGTCCCAACTGCAGAGCTCTAGCCCTATCGTTTCAAGATCAGAGGCCATTTGGGATGCAGCACCTGGGTCTCAGGAGAAGACTTCCACGGCTGGGACCTTGCAGATGACACTCAGCTCACCTAACTAGTCTCCGAAGAATTTGCCTTTGACTATTCACTACACCCTTTTACCTAGAACGGTTTCCTCACAACTTGTCCCCATTATTTCCCTCCCATCAAGCCCTCCCACCCCACCAGCTGGTTGATACCTAAGACACTACGGACCATTCGAGCAGACCCAGAAGGTGCCCTCTGGCAAGCTAATGAGAAATTTACACGACCAGAACTGGGCATAAGAGCAGACTAACTAGTGGAAGAAACCATAGGCACTCCCCAGGTATGTATGCTTTTGTCGAAAAGAACCATGCTACAAGGAATTATTAAATGTCATAAAAGCCATTCTTAGATTATAACCCTGGCATTCACTTCTCATTGTTCTGTTCCCGGTTCTGGTTATGCCTGAACCACATGACCCTACTTCCTTTTTCATGATTCATGCCAACATCTGCCAACCCGATATCAGGAACCATCTATACAAGGTGAAAAGTGACTAACAACCCTTGATGCCAACTTAACTCCAGCACTAGGACAATAAAAAATTCTCCCCACTTCAGGGCTGTTGTAATTGCCATTGACTCTTTAAATGGGCTGGACCCTGTATGACCGTGCCTTGGCTGGTCCACGGAAGCAAACTGCAAACCCGAATAGAGCAGACATTTTAGGAAATGACCCAGGAGTTCCCCCAACTCTCATTCTATTCATTGCTGCTTCCTAAGTGCTTGCTTTCCTCTCTGACACCATGCTCCCGGCTCTGACAGATTTCATTAGCTGCCTTTGGCTCACTTGGATCCGGGTGCCTTTTGGATTCCACACTTTGTATTTTGGCACTTCTGCATGATTTAGAGCTTTGCCTGCTGCTTCGGCTTCAGAACCTCCCATCGCCTCCAGCAGAGACTACTCAGTCCATGGCCTTCAGCACTGCCACAGCCCCATTACCAAGTAAGGTCCTTGGGAGTAGGAACTAAGAAAACCTTCTCTTAACAAGATATGGAAATATTTTTTCAGAACTGGATGAAATAGGCTTTGGAACAAAATTGAAAATTATCTCAATAGATATAGTAATCTTATAAGCAGATCATGATATCAATAAATGACTTTGGCGTGTTCGTATGAATATATAGGTTTTGAAACCATCTAATAGTCCTGTATAATCTTAGGAAGATGGGTTGCTTGGCGAAGTTGTAGGGAATATAGCAAGGCTGGGCTAGAATGTGTGGTTTTCTAGCTGTGGGTGGAGGTGAGGAGGTGGCCTGGAGACATGTGACAGAGATGACCCTAAGGTTGGCATCGTTATGTACTGCTGTACTACGCTGCTAGGGAGTTTGCGTTCCTTTTTTTAGAGGGCAGGAGGTATGGCAGGGAGAAGTACTGAAGTGACTGAGGTATCAAGATAGGCAAAGCATCCGCGGTCTTGGCCTTTGTTTCTCTTAAACATAGTGAGAAAACAGCCTATCTCCAGCAGACTAAATGCTACAGAAGTTCCAAGGTCCACCGTTAGGAGGTCAGAATACATTTTCTCTCTCAAATAACATTCAGCAGGGTTTTACGGACTAACTTTCATAACGGAAACCCTTTTCGAGTGTTTTTATGCAAGATATTTAAAGTTCATCTAGAAATAGCAGGAACACATCTCCAGTATAAAATAATAACATTGGTTAACATGAAGAGTAAAGAGGCGGTTTGGAAGAGAGAGAAATCACCAAATAGCCCTGGGGGGTCATTACCACCATTTCTTCCTGTTCCAGCAACGTGGAAATTCTCATTGTAAGCAGAATTTTACTAACATGATGATTTTAGTCATATTTTTGTAATATTAGTAATGTCTGTAATGTTACTGATGTTTTTAAGTTTATGGAGGATTCGCTATATATTTCAGTGTGCTTTCTTATTTACTTGGCTAACCTTTTTCTGTAGATCCATAGTTCTAATTGTGTAAGACAAGTTAATGGATAATGCCATATTACAGAAATGTATTCATATTAGGGAATATCATCTGTACAAGATAAGGCTACTTCAGGGCATGTATAGATCACAGTATTATTATTGTTTGAAAAATAAGCGGGCTGGCCAATTCTTTACCGAAAACACATCGGCCCCATGTGTATAGTGATGCTTCCTCAAATTTTAAGCAACGTGTACCAGATAAAAGGGTTTTGTTTTTTTTTCATTTTATTTCTCTATTTTAAAAAAGAGTCTCCATAAAAAGAATTCCTTTTAAATTCTTTAATTAGGTGTGAATTTTATATCTAGCCCAAATACATCTCTTTTACTTTCCTTCACTTGGGAACATTTAAGTGTCACTGTGGTGCAGGCATCAGGATTGGGTGTGAGAAATATGGGGTAAAGTGAATAAGGTTGAGTGTGGCTGGGGGAAAATGCTAAGAGGAGTTGATAGTGTAGTTGGAGCGAAGCCTGCATCTTAAGTACAGGATTACGATAGGGTGTGCTAAGCCCGTGCTAGGGGCGTGCAGAAAGGGCCGTGGGAACAGCACAGAGAGCAGACAGCATCTTCAGGAGTAGGACATAGACTAAAACTGTTTCATAATTACTCCGATTAAATGATCTACTGAAACTTGTCCTATGGCTTCTCGGTCATGACACGATTTCACTGTCTTCCCGCACAGATTGCTGCATTGTGACTTCATACGTTCCCAGGGCATTCCATGTGGCAGCCAAAGAAAGTGAGAGCAGAGCGCCCCCCTCGGCGATGTGGCCGCTACGTGGGGGCCCCTGACAGTCACACGATCCTTGGCCCCTCTCATAACATGGGAGAGTCTTTCTTTTTAGGATTCAGTGGCTCGACGGGTTTGGAAGGATTTGGCAAGGGGATGCTTCCTTGAGTTCTGTTGCTGGGAGAAGACAGGAAATTTAGCAGGTCAAATGGCAAAGGTAAAACCACTGTGGAAGGTTTCTCTGTGGACAAGGATTGAAGAGTGTGCAGGTATCGAAGCTGAACAGCAGCTGGGGTGCCTGAGAGGATCTCGGCCGCCGTCCTCAGGGACTCGGAGGCAGCCTTCTCCCCCTCTGCAGCGATCATCTAGAGAACAGAAGGGAAGAAAAGCAGAGTGAATTTTCTTCTTCGTCCCATGAAGGTTTTAATCATTATTCAGCGTGACTCAGCAAGCACTGAGCATCTACTATGTGGCAGGCTCTGTTAGGCAAACAGACTGTCTTTATTTTCAAGGATCTCGCTCTAGAGGAGACTGATCATATTCTTAATTGTAATTTAAGGTGGAATTTGTTAAGGGCCCCAGAAAGTGTAGCGAAGTGTCAGGGGGGTTATTACGTGTAGTGGGCCTTGATTAGTAGAATTTTGTCGTATAGAGAAAAGGTTAGCCAGCGTTCCAGGCAGGGGAACAGAGTCCTGGATGGGTAACCCCCAACTCGGACAGATGACTGGGTAAGCATTTCAGAAGAAAAAGCACCCAAGCTCACCACCCAAATGCCACTCTTAAGTGGGCCAAGGGGACGAGACTTAGATCTAGAAGCAACTCTGCCCAGAGGGCCAGCCTCTTCCTCCCCTTCCTCTCCCACCTCCCCGCAGTTATCGACCCTCTATGTGGTGAGGGGTTTTTCTTCGCCTGCTTTCTGTCTTTCAAGAGGACTCTGGCCCTCACTTTCCTCTTCCCGGCACCCCTTCCCACCCCACCCCGCCCCAGTCCTCAGGAGCTGCGGGCAGTCGCTGCTTTTCTTTCTCACTGGCATGCCTGCGGAGCGGCTGGCGCGGCACAGCCTTCTCCCGGGTCTGGCGTGGAGGGAATTGGGTCTTGATCACCGTCGTCCCTTTAGAGCTTGCACAGAGCTAGGGAGACGGGTCTGGGCGTTATTAACCTGGAGGTGAGCGGTGACTGCTATTACCCAGCAAAGATGCCAGCTCAAGAGAAGAGGGATGAATGTGGGGAGACGCTTTTAGGAAGAGAGAGGGAAAACAAGACTCAAGATGGAGGAGTCGGTCACTCAGCAACAGTCCGAGAGTGGGGGTGTAACAGGGCAGGAGCTCCTGCGTTAGCCAGGAGGCTACTAACACGCTAAGAGAGCGACTTTAGCAGGGTGGGAGTGGGGGGAACAGCTGGCACAGCCAGATTCCTCCCAGGCCTGGATGAATGGGACATGAGGAAGCGAACAAGCACAGGGGAACTGTTTCTGTTTCGCATGAGCACACCTTTTGGATTTTCCCACGTTCCCCAAAGAACAGCCCCGGGGGGAGGACGGCCTGCCCCGGGCTGGCTCACCCGCACTCTGGCCTGTCTCTGCGCTTCGGCTTCCACAGCCAGTGAGTGCTGAAGCCCGGCCGGCAGCCTCACGTCCTTCCTGGAAAAGGAGGAACACGGCCAGGTGGGTGTGGGCACCTCTTGCAGCGGTCAGGGCTTTCGCCGGCTGAGCCGCCTTCCCGGCCGCTGCTGCAGGACAAGCAGCAAACTCTGGCGCCACGGAGGGTGCGGTCCCTCGACCTCCCCTAGACAGTGGGCAGGAAGGGTGTCGCAAGGGTCACACTT